AGCACAGGCACAGCCTCACGGGAACGTGAGACACGTCGGGTACCCGGGACGTCGACGCAGTCTGAGCCCAGTTTCTTCCCAGTTGGAGCCCAGACCACACAAGTGACAACGCTGGAAAAGCACAACAGAGCCAAACGCGCTGACTAAGGGCAGCATTTTGGAAGCTGCTTTATACCAGGACGGGTTACGGGCACACCGGGGAAGGAAGCTTCCCAGGCATGGCGAAGAGCGTGTTGGCAACTCACCTGCTGGAGAGAAAGTTCATTGGGGAAAGCACTCTCAATGTCTTCATCCTCACTGGAAGAGTGCAGATGGTGAGTGCTCACCTGAAAAAAGGACAAAAAAAATAAGCACAAGTGAAAGCTAAGGAAGCTCAAATACTTTTCTTCCACATGTACAAGCAAAGACCAAACTCCCCAGAAGGCAAAACTGTCCCCATGAACAACACGGGCACGTGGTCCAGAGTTTGCCCACACGTATCAGAGCTGCTGCTGCTGCCTGAAGAACCGTTACAGAGTATGCTTTCTACAAACATTCTGCCCTTGTAAGCCTACGTCATGAAAACCAGCAGAAGAAGAAAAAAACCCAGCAACATCACTCTCTCTTAGTTAAAGAAAGTCCAGAAGATAGCAGCCCATCTGAAACATGCACAAAATCACTCTTCTCACCAAATCCACCGTATTCCTCCTGTTTGTTTCCGTCAGCGTCTCTTCTACAAAACTCTCCCACCTCCCTCTGCAATCTTCAGGTAGCTCTGGAACAACAAGGTCACCACAGAGGTTACCACAACTCACCGGGAAGGGAGCAAGGCAGTGGCTTAGCCCCACGGGTGACCTGGAAGCTTCTGAGCAGACACGCACACCTGCCAAGTCACGCATGCGTTCTGTACGTGCTCTGCGAAGGGAACTACATTTTACCCGTGATTTCCTAAAAATGGTAAATTCCACAGAGAAAGGAACATCTTTCACTGGGCCAACCAGTGATGTATTACTGCTCTTAACAATCTTAGCTTGCTGGTGGAATTACAGCGGGCTAAAGATAGAAAACTTCTCCTACAGCTTTCTGGAAACCAGCACACGTGTGACCACTCAGCAAGAGCTAAAACTGGTGCCTGGGAGTCACAAATCCCAAGCACAGCACTGCACAGTTGCGATGAATAAAGTTCTCTTCATCCCAGGCAGACCCAGTACAGTCAAACAACAGAGAGAAATAACCAGGACTTGTGAAACTTCCAGTTTTTACTAAAATCCTCGGAACGTCTCAACTTCCACATAGCTAGGACAGCACACCACGTTACTGTATGACCGCTCGATAGGTTCCTTAGAAGCCAAAAATGGAAACTCAAGTCCCATTTGAGCTCGCTGCTTCCCTTCACAGAGGCAGAGATGGAAAATCTTGTTTCCTCTCACACAAAAACACCAGGTAGAACTGGTTCCCAAAATCAAAGCCCGATGAAGATACGACGGACAAAGCCTGGCAACATCAGTATCTCCCACCAAGCAGAGGCGCAGAGCCCCTGCGATCATTTACTCTTGCACCTCTCTCCCTCTCAGCGGGTACAAGAACAGGGAAGAACAGAACCCCCACCCATGGACACCACCCTAGGAGGCTGCACCTCAGCACGACAGACGTGCACATAAATCCGCACAAAGAGAAGCATTCTTCAGCACAAAAGGGTGCCGTCAGTCTCTGGCTGCAAAAACAAAGCTCCAACAAAACTCTATCAAAACAAAGAGCAACCAGATTTGGTCTAGACATTGTTTTAAGTTACAGGAAATTGTGATATTTAACTGGAAATTCTTTTCACTATCATAGAATCATTTTGGTTGGAAAAGACCTTTAAGATCATCAGGTCCAACCGTTACCCTAACACTGCCAAGGCCACCACTGAACCATGTCCCTCAGCACCACATCTGCACATCTTCTGAACACCTCCAGGGATGGGACTCCAGCACCTCCCTGGGCAGCCTGGTCCAACATCTGACCACTCTGTCAGGGAAGAAATTTTCCCTCGTGTCCATCTAAACCTGCCCTGGCGCAGCTTGAGGCCGTTTCCTCTCGTCCTGTCATTAGTTCCTTGGGAGAACAGACCGACCCCCCCTCACCACAGCCTCCGAGGAGGCCTCCCCTCAGCCTCCTCTTCTCCAGGCTGAACACCCCCAGTTCCCTCAGCCGCTCCTCACAGACCTGTTCTCCAGACCCCTCCCCAGCTCCGTTGCCCTTCACTGCCCACCATAAAAGGGACCCTCATGAGATACACGCAATAAAAGTCTTGGCAAAGGCCTGCAAGGGTTATTTAATCCAGGGGAAAAAAAAAGGGGGTCGGGGATGGAGAAAGGAGGACGTACCTTTAATGAACTCACTAATTTGAGTCTGCATGGGGCCCTTCTCCATGTTCTGCACTACGGCGTTGGCTATCCGGGTGAGGTGGCCCATGTTGCCTCGCCTCATTCCACCTTCTGCCCTGGAAAGAGACAACAGCCAGTAGCAAACCAACCAGCGCCGGGAGCCCCGGGGTCGCAGTCCCAACCGCTTTCACCCCGCAGGCAGGCTGAGAGCCCCCCGCGGCCGCAGGGCCCGAGCAGGGCGAGCGCCGCCGGCGCAGCAGCACCGCCCTCCGCTCACGCCGGCAGGGCACACGAGGGGCTTACCCACCACCAATGAACCCCTCTGCATTTTTTCATGTAGCGAGAGGGAAGAAATCACCCATCCCGTTCAGAACACACGTGATAAAATTTAAGCCAGTTACAAAGAGGAAGCTAATCGGGTGTGCTGAAAAACCGCTGCAGAAATAAATAATCTGATTATAATTTCCACTAAAGAAAGCTCACAGCAGTAAGAATTTACATCACTACTACTGAAAAGCTTTAGTTTCACTTGCAATTGAAGCGTTAAGCAGATGAACTCAAGAGAACAAAAGACTTTAATCTACAACCGCTAGATTTCCCCTCACAAGACAAAAAAAAAAAGCAGCTGAGCTAAGTCCAGGCAGCCCCTAAGTCACTTTTCTTTGAGCCTTCACTGGTTCTCCTTCCCTGGACAGCAAAGCAGCAATCTAAAAATCCGGGGATGAAGAGCCTGAAGTAATTCCACTCTCCACAGTATCCACCAGAGGACTAAGGAGATTTGGGAAGGAAAACGTAAAGCCTAGTGGCAGGTTCCTGGTAAGAAGTTTCACAGTTCCACGGGGAGAAGCAGCATTTCTGCCTTTAAACTGGCAGGTGCTGAAGGAAGCCCAGACAAAGCCCATACGTACAAATGCTGCTGAAGCATCCCAGACCCTGAAGGCAAATTCAGATATCATTCCTTGATGTAGCCACAAGCAGGGCTGACTCAAGCCACCACAGGTAAAACGGGTGGGTCAGAATCAAACTACACAGAACTAAACCCCTTACAAACAGGATGACAAGTCGTTTCCACCTCACGTGATTGAGTCTCCGTCTGTAACCCGAAGGTTTCCTTCCCAGGTGCTGACAGAGCCAACGCATCAGGAACTTTCACTCTTCCTCGGGCGAGAGGACGACACCAAACACGTGAGAGGGAACTGAGAGCTGGGGCACTGTGCTCACCTGAACCCCCCGCCCTGGCTGGGGGGCTCGGAGGGCGGCAGCCCAAGCTGCCAGGTCGGCTGCAGCAACGCTGGGCCCTCCCTGCGACATTCTGAGCTGCTGGTTCATGACCTCCACACCCCTTGAGAGGCGCAATCCTCACCCCCTCAATCTCCAAAAAGGGCAGGTTTCTACTCAAATCATCTCAGGCTCTTCCCAAATGTTGGAGCTGAACTTGTGCAAGGGAGGAGACAAGATGGTTCGGAAAAAACCCCGTCTTACCCCTCCGCATGCTCCTGTGCCAAAAAACGGCGCACAAAGCCAGCACAAGCCAGAGCTGCACACAGGGAACGAGGCCGGCACGCCAGCCCCAAACCCAGGGATCAGAACCACTCCAATAAAATGAACGCCTGGAAACAAGCTCCCTGTGCCGAGGCTCGTGGCGGTGCCCTTTGCACCTCAGAGAGCCCCAGCCCCGACCCACGGGCGGGCGCCGCCTCGCTGCACCAGCCCTGCTGCAAGCCCAGAGCCACCCCCAGCACCGCCGTCCCCGGGCTGGAGCCCGTCTGCGTCGGGGACACGGGTGCCCAGGCCCCCGGTTGGGTCACACCAGCACGTCGTGAGGGCCCTGCAAAGAGCCGCTCTGGAGGACGAAAGCCCCGGGCAGACGGGGCAAAGGAACACAGCGCTGCCCCGCTGCTCCCGGCAAACCCGTGAGGCTCAGCCTTCTCCACGATCTCAAGCGTCGGGCGAGAAAAGCAGCTGCCGCGCTGTTGTACCCGTCGTCTTCGACTGCTTTGGGAGGACCCAGACAACGTTTCTGCTGAGCTGCGCCGTCCTTACCACACTGCTGGAACGCAGCCGGCAAAGTCAACTTTTATTTCAACACTTTCCAACGCTTTTCATCGACCACGCCACCACCGGTGGTTACTGGATTCGCACGAAGAGGAAGGCAAAGCTGAGCTACCGCAAACTGCTCCTTCCTACAACCTCACACTGATGACCAGACCCTCCATCTGAAATCCTCGTTACGAAGGCAGATCAAACGGGCTGCAGTAGAAGAATTACGTGGGTTGCCTGGCAGTTAAATTCCAGTAGTCACAAAGTCCTTCATCAAGAACACAGGGAATAACTAAACCTAAGAGAACCCAAGGAGAGATTCCACGTTCCAACAGGAAAATACGCTACCACTGTTCTTGCTGCTGATTTTTAAGAAATAATTCCCAAGCTCTCAACCTGCAATCTCTGACCTTGGGGCCCCCAGGGCTCCATCTCCTCACTAAGTGCGTACGATAATCTTCACATAAACTCAAACTTCTTAAAGCTCACCACCTGAGACACCTCTCGTTAACTCGGTATTTTTTTTCTTGCCATTAAAATTCTTCCCAGGGTGGTGACTGGAACGGTTTGGCACGAAGTACGTATGAGCTCTAGCTCCCATCTAATCTAATTAGGAAAACTCTTGAGCAGCAACCACCACAGGTACTCCGGTTACCTACAGAGCTGGGCACAGCGACACCTGCGCAATGAAACGACCGGCAAAATTTGTCACCGACAGCCCAAGAGGTTGCAAGAGGAAAAAAAAAAACAAAAAAACCCCCAAACCAAACCAAAGCAAACAAAAAAATCAAACCAAACCCCAACCCACCAATTATGGTCTGACAGTAAGCTTAAAATAATTACCGTGGGACTACAGAGCACTTTGAAGATGTAGGGAGCTCAAAACAGCGAGGGAGGACCAAAACATTTAGATGGACAAAGAAACAGAACCTGGATAATATTTTCACTTTAATAAGTTTTAGGGTTGTTTAATTGTCTAGTTCTTATAATCACTGCAATCAGCAAAAATCCAAGTGTTTTATAAAGTTAGAATATTAAATGCGGGGCAAATGTGGGGCAAAAGTACTTGCCCACCTCAGTTTCCTCTCAGCTGCTCACTCTAGGGAGAAGATAATTACGCATTTAAAAAAAAAAAAAGGAGTTAATACGCTGCGTAATTCCCTGAGACAGCAAGAAAGCAGCACGTTGTGTTTGGGGTGAGACGTTATAAAGATTAAAAAAATACATCATGCTTTCGACTTACATGCCTATTTGGCGAATTTGGTTTTTAACATGCCAATATTCCTAGTTCCAAACCCCAGCTGAAACCCAGACCACCTCAGACACCCCTGAGCTGTAAGTGACCCACACACCAGGAAGACTGCCTCAAGGCAACACCCCCACCCGGCAGCCCCAGCACGGGGCCTGCCGACCCCCGCTCCCTTACTGGATCTTGTCGTTGGCTTCCCAGGCGTCCAAGATCCTTTGCACGAGGCAGCACTTCTGGAACAGCTGGAGGGAAGAGAGAGACAGGGGGAACATTTCAGCAGTCTGCCAAGACAGGCCCGTGCCTTAGGAAGCCAGTGCCGAGCTACAGCTGCCTCTGCCCGCTCCCTGGCTCCTGCTGGACGGCAACCTAAAGCTCACGCTTAACCTTCCCGAGAGCTCGAGTTTCTTTGCTCTCAGTTTTTTTCTGAGCAGATCCAGGGAAAACAGCAACACCTCCAGACATCTCCTGCCCGCTTCCGGGCTGCGCAGGAGCAGTAAGGACAAACACTGTTATCGTTTTATAACGGAACACAAAGTTTTCATCACCAGGGCCACGATGCAGAAGCTAAAACGCAGTTAGCTACTTGTAGTCACTACTGGGGGCTTTTTGTCCAACGTTTATATGCATCTTTACTAAAAAAAGTAAATAAGAATGGACTCCCAAGCCCACTAAAGGAGACAGGTGGTATGTTCATTTTGGAACCGGAGGCTAAAAGCCAACGTGCAGCAGCCAATACACTTCTGTCTGGCACTGACAGACCCCAGTCATCGCCAGGCACCTTCCAATAAGCTCCGTGCTCCTGCGCAGCTCGTCACACCATCTTCTCGTTAACGCATGTGCCGACTCAACCAGCCAGTCCCGAACTCTGAGGTGGCACGACCGGACTTACGTGAGTAACCATGATGTTCTCCGTGTTGTGTGCTGGAGTCTCCGAGTTCTCTGTGGCCACGTTTCCATTCAGCACCTCCTCTTTGCTTTCTAGCTCGTGAGCAGTAGTCTTTCCCTCTTGCACAGAGTGGGAGAGAATTGCTGCTATGGACAATTCCACTTGGAAATGCAAAAAGTTATTCCACGTGTATTTAAAAAACAAATCCTGGAAAAAAAAAACAAGAAACAAAAGACTTCACTCTAGATACACTTTCCCATTCGTACCCACCAAATGATGTCAGAATAGTGCCCAACGAGTTGTTCCATCAGCAATTCCACTAAAACAATTTTACTTCTACGCCTCAGTATCCACGGAGAGCCTGAAGGAGCTCTGTCTGCACTGCTCCAACGTACACTTCCCAACAAACTCGGCCATGCTCTCATACACAGCTGGGGCTCACCGCACAGACACACCGGAAAAAATGCTACCCGTTCTGTGCCTGAACCAATATTCAGAAAGTATGAACTGAATAATCTCTAAGCATAAAAGTCCATTTCTGAAAGGCTGCCCAGGTTACGTGGGCACTTTTCAGACCGTGTCCCTGTCCACAGCCAGGCACAAAGACCAGCCCTCAGCAGCACAGAGCCGGGACGCACCACGCACCCCACGGGGCTTTCTCACCAGCCAGGCTGTTGGCACACACACCACCGAACTACGGTGAGGAGAAAGTTGAAGCGTGAGGTTCAGTTCCAAATCCCAAGCACCGGTTTTGTGTTACAAAAGCTATTCTGAGGATGGGTGTTCCTACTTTGGGCAGATTAGAAAAATAATTAGACACTGGCACACATGAAACAAGCTGCCTTGCAGTGAACAGATGAAAGGGAAAGCAAAGATGTTCCCAGGTGAAAGTCGTTCCCCCTCTCCCCACTCGGCGTCACGGCGTATTACTCACAAGTAATAAATTCATGGTACTGAGTCTGCATAGTTCCTGATTAATACTGGGAGTGTTTGTGTGAAGCAGAGCAGCTATTAGACGAGATCCATGAAGACGAGCGTTCCCCAGTGGCTCCTCCAAGACACCAATCGTAGTTAGGATTGCTGTTTTCTATCAGAGAAACAGATCGTGAGTAGGAAGATCAACGTCTCCTCAGTGTATGTGCACCATGATTTGACTAAACATAACTAGTGCATTCCAGAAATTCCCTCTGCAGGTAAACCCAGACCACCCTCCCACACAGAAGACGGTGTCGTGTGAGACTCCTCCTTCCAAAACCGAAGATTAAAATCAAAAGATCCACTCACTGAAGTTCCCTTCTCTTCACCCCTTAACCATCTTTACACAAGCCACCAGTCCCAACGCATCTCTGCTTCTTGGCTTGACTGGAACACAACGGCTTTCACGGTTCCTACTGCCTAGTCCCTGAGCACCTGAACTAGAAATACTTCAAGTACAAATTTTTCTTCAAAGCCGTTTGCCTGTTCCAGCTCCCGGCGCTTTCAGAGAACATGCAGGGAGCCCGGGTACGAGGAGAGGGAAACCCTGAAATGCAGGTCAGGGGCCACTGGCTCCCGCGAAAGGCCGAGGCGCCCTACCTTGGGAGGGCTGAGCAGCAGCTGGTGGAAATCCTTCAGCCTTGGTTCAATACCATGCAAGATGCTGCTATTGACAGTGTAAGACCTTTCAAATCCCTGAGTGTATGAGTCCATCAGTCCTTCCACCCTGCAAAGAAGAAAAGCACAACACTTAAGGTTTGACAAAACCTGAAAATGGTCTCCAGTCACACCGCCCATGTTGGTCACTTTCTCTTGAAAAGTACCTACGACTATGAAAACCAAGACTTTCCAGCTACTGAATATATTTACAGAGCTACGGTAGTTAGCTCCTTCGCTCCTCCTTATTGTCTCCTTTTTTAAAAACTGAGATTTTCAACATCCCCCTTCCTCCCCAGAACTCTCCCTTGCCTCTTCTCTCCTCTATCTCCACAGAAAGAAATAAAAACCAAGACTAGAACTATACGGCCATGTGCAGATATGCACACAGCACCACACAGATTACGCAGGAGGTACCGCCTCCCCCCTCACTCTGCGTGCCTTCTGCTGTACGATCTCTGCTATCACAGACAAGACTTCGCTATACACCTGCAAGAGAGCCACAAGAGCCCTCAGAAGGACCCAGTTGCCAACTGGTCTGACCGCCCCGAGGTACAGCCACAGCATCAGGAAACCCAACCAGCGTTTCTGGTACTCATTTCTAGACAGCACCTCACACTAGGCCAAAAAATGTCCTTTTTTTTGCCTAATAAAGCTAGACTGGAGTCCCTACAGATGTTCTCGCCAGGGAAGCAAGTGCTAACGTACCCAGAGCGCCTTGTTTCCAGCAACGTCAGAAGAACTTGTGTTCCGTTCACTATGCAGTTCTCCGTCTGCTCGCCATCAAACATATTCTTCAGGAGCTGCTCCACACATTCCTGCCTGTGGACAGACACACACACACATCAGCAGCAGAAGAATCAGAAGTATTTGGCAGCTGCTTTAATCACAAAATATCCACTTCTGGGTCTTCTGGAAAAAAAGGCTGCCATTTTTTATTTTTTTTTTTTAAATTTTTTTGCAGACAGAATGACGACACTCCTCTCTAAAGCCTCACATGAGAAGCAGGGCTCTGCACCAGGTTTCTGACCTTGCTCGCTGCTCGCCCAGGCAAGACCTCTGGTCACAGACACCCAGGCTCCAAAGCAAATTGTCATTCTCCTTTATCAACAGGATACACATCTTAATTATAAACTGGAAGACAACCCAAGCGTTAACTCAGCCTAATTAATTTATTAAAGACAACATGAAGCTATCAGCTGAGAGCCTGAAATTATCCATCAGGATTGCAGAAGGAAGACAACAAGCGCTGGAAGTGGCCCCTTATCATTTGCCAGGGGCACAGTAAGATGCAGGACCTGGGAAGAGAGGCCAAGAAATGGAAGCTGTGAGTAACACGCACATTTTTAGTAGTCTCAGCTATTATCCCCTCGACACACTTTAAGCAATTCATCATCTTTTCAAGCCCTCAAACCACGACAAGATGCCTTCCAAGCACTGACAGATTCGGGGCCAGGGGGAGGGATCACCAAGCGAAGCGCTGACGACTGCTGGAGTCGGGGTGAATAATGCCATCGCTCCTGTCCAGCCCTGAGAACCACCGGGACACGGCCTCACGACTGACGAACCACCAGCGCCAGGGCAACAGCCCGCTCTGCTCCCCGCGTGCTGCCACGCCGGCTGAGCGACCGGAGGAGCGCGAGGCGCAGGGTGGCGCTGCCAACCACCCACCACGGCT